AAAATGATGATTTTTTCACGGACCAAATTACAAATATTCAAAAAGTTGATTTGGATCAAAGAAAGAGGATTGAAGACTACCCGAAATCAATTCAATATAATTGAAAGATGACTGACCAAGAATTCATGAAGAAATTACTTGAATTGAATAAAAGAAGAAAGCTAGGGACCAAAGCGCAAATCTCAAAAAAACTTCCTATCGCATGGGGATATACTTCTTTCGACTGCATCACATTAGTTTGGCAAACTCGAGAGACGTCAATCCTTTAACAACAGTTTTTCGACCTTAAATCAGAGTCTCAAATTATAAGGAATGATAACTACAACTCATTTTGATTGGAAAATGAAGAATCATTTCCTGAATATAAAAGAACAACGTGAGGCTAAATTTTCAACTTTAAATATATGAGGATTATGTGATAATTTAACATAGACGTGGATAGATTATACCCCTAATTTGGTATTTTTTTCCTTGTATGTTTCAATTTTTAAAGTCATTACGGGATGTGAAATGAATCAAAATATTACATTTTTAATACCATTTTGAAATGCTCATGGTCTAGTTTTCTACGTTGTTAATGACGTACAAAACGATCAATCGTAGCAAATGTTACGACTTGTCAAAGTAGGACGTTCAAAATTAGTATTCGAGAATCTACAAATTGTTTATGTCATCTCAAAGCTTATTTCGAGAACTACGTTATAGGCATATCGAATAGTCCAAATAGATATCGAAAATAGTTAAAGATGCGTTAAACGTAAGTTTTAAAAAAAAGACGTCTAACTCGCATTTTTTTTTTAAAAAAATTCAAAATTATTTCATTAACATTTATTATTTTTGCGATACAAATTTCTCAATGTATTTTCATTATTTTATTAGGAAATTTTATATGGAATATGATATCAAAAAATTTCAAAATTTTACATTCGAAAAAGTCGTATCCCATGTAAATTTAGGGATTCAAAATTATATGGGGTATGATTTTTTTGAACGTAAATTTTCGATTGTAAAATTTCTCACAACTTCTTTCAAAGTTGGATTTTGCCCCTAGTTTTAAATTTCTTCGTCCGCCCCTCGTGACTGCTGCAGTTCTTAATGACAAATTATTTAATAGAGTCGCAGGCCCTATCTGCTCCACTTTTATTTAATTATTTTGCAAGTTTGTATTATTGTTCTTCACTCCGATCCAAATTGTATTTAATTATTTTAGAAGTTTATATAATTGTTTAATTTACGCTAGTCAAGTAATCATTTATTACTTAAATGCTTTTTTTAATTGTAAATTACTTTTCCTTCCTCATATTTTCATTATAATAAGCATTTACTTGGGTAGACAGTAGACAGGCAAAGCTGTAGATGAATAAAAATGTTTAATATTAGTTATGTCACTTAGATATTTTGTCCCTACAGAATCCTTATCAAGTTAATATTATATTGAGAGATTTACGTCATTGAAGAATAGAGGTCCAAAAGTTGATGAAATAATTTTGGGGAAGAAATGTCAAAAGGTGACTTGATGAGGGCCTTGACAAGTAATTTCTCTTCATAACACTCATTGATTAACATAAATCGTTGCTTTAAAATTGGGTCATGCAAAAAAATCAAACATGGAAAAGATCTCTCACCTTAATTTGTCTCTTCTATATAACACACACACACATCCTTAAAATGTTTGCACAAATTCTTTGTATTTTTTGATAAATCGATGACAATAATTGGCTTGTTTTAAAAGGGAAAAAATATATATATTAGGAGTGGAGAAATTAATTCTAAGCCTCAAAATAATAAATTAATAAACAAATTACCTCGTTCAGAGACGTTGAATGTCCAACTTTTGCTCATCATACGCATTGTGAGGACTCCAATAGAATTATCGTGATGTTTCAAAATTGGCTAGAAGCATGATACAAGTTCTCCCATGGAAGCAGCAAGAGATAAGTTGGTATTTGACTGAATTGAGTGACTATTTATGTTGATCCGTTCGAGTTCAATCCAAAGAAGGTATTCAAAACCCAAATCCGATGTTGGCCCGTTAAAACTTAACATCGACTTATAATAATTGTGTCAATGTCATAAACATACACAATGCAGTTCGTATGAGAAAAAAAATGTTTAGCCAAAAAATTCCAAAATCACTTCCTTTAAGAAATAGTAAAAATGTCGTAAAAGAACTAAAATATGAAGGCAGTTAGAAGGAATTGATTGCTCACCTGAGGTTTAACAACTACTACGATGGATGGGATGTTAATAAAGCTAACTTTGGTGACTATTTTGGACACTAAAATTCTTTAATTACTACTTGTATCATGCTTCTAGCCATTACTGTCATTCTCACCTCCGATCCCAAACTTCCGTTTAAGGTGTTAGTTACTCTTAAATTACCCTTTCATTTTTTGTAAAATTAATTTCCATTTCTTGAAGAAAACCTTTCATTTTTCTTTTAATTTTTTTGAATAAATTGTCAATGCAGATTTAGCGTTCCGGAGGCAGCTCCATTTACTGCAGTTCTCAAAAATCTAGTGTTGAAATTGTAATCAAATTATTCTCTGCAAGAAAATTTGGGGATAGATATATTGGTGAAGTGAAACTTCCATTGGGGAGTCTTTTCGAGAATGGACCTACTGCTCAAAATATGAGTTACGTCGTGGGTGGAACCCTAATTATTTCGTACAATTTCGGAGAAAAAATTCGTGTTAATAAACCTTCTGGTTGGGATAAAGCGATCAAGATAATGACGAGCCTTGGAATTGCGCTACTGATAAAGGGAACCTTTCTCGTGATAACCGGAGGTCTCACTGATGGGTTTGACATTCCCATTTTCACGGACCCTAGTGAAATTATCGATCTAATCTTTGATGTTGCTGTTGATGATAGAGCCGTCATCGACTCTTGTGATATTATCGATCCAATAGGTGATGCTACTAATTTGTAGTTTTTTTTACCCAAATTAAATATTTCTCATTCTTTGCTGAAAAAATATTGTTTCCTTTATTCAACATGATTTTTTATCTTGTTCCCATCTTTATGGTATTTCTAGGATTTGGCACCCACCCTTATAAATACGGGTAATGCTACATGTACACACACTTTTACACAATCTTTTACACCTCTCTCACATGGAGGGGGGTCCACGATTATTTTATTATGTGTGGGCCCCTCTCTATGTGAGGTGGGTGTAAAAAATTGTGTAAAAGATTGTGTATACTTAGCATTATTCTATAAATACTAGACCCTTTTTACAAGTTCTGTATTTCTGAAATAATTGTGTATGCACAACTATTGTATTTGTTTTCTCTACTCCGTTCATTTGCCAATTAATTATTTTGCATTTTATCTTGTTTTTTGTTTACGATTATATACTTCATATCGTGTCATACCTCTGCGTCTGAAATAAATAATGGCAGATGAGTTCAAGGCAGCCTTCAGCCTTTTTGATGAGGATGGCGATGGATGTATAACCAGTAAAGAGTTGGGAAAATGTATGAGATCACTGGGGCAGAATCCCACTGAAGCTGAACTGCAAGATATGATCAATGAAGTTGATGCTGATCAAAATGGTACAATTGATTTTCCTGAGTTCTTGAATTTGATGGCTCCGAAAATGAAGGATACTGACTCGGAGGAAGAACTGAAAGAAGCTTTCAACGTCTTTGACAAGGATCGAAATGGCTTTATTTCTGCTGCAGAGCTTCGTCACGTGATGGCAAACCTTGGGGAGAAGTTGACAGATGAAAAAGTGGACGAGATGATACGAGAAGCAGATGTGGATGGCGATGGCCAATTGAATTATGAGGAGTTTGTGAGGGTGATGCTTGCAAAGTGATTCTGACAACAGATTATTTGAGTTGTAGGTTTATCTCCTAAATAGTGGATTGTGTTCTGTTAAATGGTTTCTAGACTTCAGTGATTACTTGGTTAATCCGAAAAAATAAATATCGTGTCTCATGATTGGCTTTGTTTCCCATCAGCTAATGATGATCCAGTCGGTGACTTTGCTACTCATGATTGCAAAACTGAAGGACAATAATTATTTAGATAAATTTCTTTCCAGCAGATTTATCCACTATGTTCCACGCTTGCTTTCCAGTTCATCAAATGCAATTCTAGCTGTTTCATATTGTAATTAATTTCTGCGTCAAGTCTTCCGTGAATTCAACGCTATATATTTGTCTACATACCTGTGTTTTTCTTTGTTGAATTCGAATACTACCTCTGTCCGATGCTGATTTTATTTTTCACATAGATTTAAAAAATTTATTTTATGTTACTGAAAAAGCAATTTTTATACATAATTTTTTTTAGTTTACTCTTATTTAATTATCAACAACTAGTAGTATAAATATTAATGGTGATTAAAGGATTGTTGAATGTGGTAAAGAAATAGTGTTTTTGTCCATGGTTCTAAGAAGATGTGGAAAATGTGTGTATGTATTTGGATAATTCCAAGAAGGTAATTAAAATCTGTATAATTTCACATTTCATTTAGCATATTATCTAGCGCCACCTAGAATGTGGTTGCAATCCTTGTAAGGCTAAATAACATTACTCATAATTTCAAGATTAAGTTGGAGGACTTGGTTATAACTAGGCAAATTAAATAAATCAAACACTTTCTCAATAAAGAAATAAGACTATATAAATGGAACAAGAGAGTAAGGAAAGTCAACCTATAACGGACATTTCAGATTGAGCATCTTTATCTCGTCCACTTTAAAAATAGGAAAATGCCCTTTAACGTTATTCGAACAATCTAAAACTGGTGTCAAATTTTAGCTATAGTTTATACCAAAATTGTGCGCATCTAAGGTATGGAAGACCAAATCTTCAATTCACTCAAGGGAGAAGGAATTCTGAGCGACACCTTTACATAGAAGATTCATAACTGTTAGCACGTAAGGAGCTAAGTTATGTAAGAACAAAAATCCAAGGAAGCAGACTCATCCAAAGTCATAAAATCTACAAAGTCCGCGTCTTCAAATTAACAGCTACAAGGAGCAAAATCATGGTTTAATGACATCGACATCAACACAAGCATTAGGAGGACACCCAACAAATGTAGCAAGTAAAAACTGAAGTGCCCTTACAAAAATACTAGGTTTTTTAATAACATATATTTCTCCAAAACTGTAAGAAAGATTCAGTGTCCCATTTTGAACCAAAGAATCATCTCCTTGTAATACAGAACATGAAATTCTTGATTCTCCACTATGGTCTTCATCAAACAGTTTCTTCAATGATAACTTCACTTCACCTATACAATTATCCTTGAATTTCTGTTCAAAATACAGCTTAAAATGGAGGTCGACGCTGTCGTGTTGCACCACTGCCTCCGTCAACGTGAATGGAACATTGTAGTTCCACTGTGGGTTGTTCTCCCCAACGTTGTCCACTGGAGTGCGCCTTTTAGTTTCATGTTTTCCGGCTATTGAAGCCTTAGCATAAATTTTCGTACTACCAGAATCATGAACTTTTGGGAGGTTATTGGCGGAAATAATAGTTATCTGTAACCTTCTACACTCCATTTTTCTTTAGCTTTACTGGAGGATCACTATTGTGGATGTGAATATAGAACTCGGGCTATTAAGTATCAATATTGTCGGCTGTTGTTACAGCTTTGTAACAGCAGAAATGCACCAGCAGCAAGAGAAGGAGAAGCTGGACGGGCAGAACCACAGAAGCAGGGGAAAAGAGGGAAATATGGGAAGGAGGAAAAAACGTGGGAGAGAGAAGGAAATCTGATTTTTTCAAAACTTACGTACAGCAGCATTTTTTAACATTATAAGAGCATCTCCACTCTTTATTTTTAAAGAGAATATTCTATCATTTGGAGAGCATCTATAAATTTAAAGAGTTAAAATTTTGATGTACTGCAACAAGCTCTTTATATTTAACACTTAAGTTTACTATTTCCCAAAAATATTTATTATTTTTCTGTATTTTTTATT